ATATTCAAAACTGGTTAAAAACATCTCTCGTATTGTCATTTTCATTCATACCTTTTCTAACTGTGTATCTCCCTGTGATCTGTATTTCTCTCCTCTCCTCAGGCCTGATTTTGTAGCCCTGAAGGTAGCAGAGAAGATAGCTGAGAATAATAATGATGCTTGTCTAATAATGGTGAGTAAAATACCATTGTTTATTTGTTTATTCTGCAGTGATGGTGCTAGTAAGCTGGAAAACTTCAGAGGATGAGTTAAAACGAATGGACTGCTTAAAGTCCAAATTTAAAGTACATGAGATATAGTTACTATAAATAAGAAATCATTTTTAAATCAATTTTTTTAATTGAATCAATGTAGTAGGCTTAACATTTACCACTAGAATGTTGGTAATCTTTAATGATTCCTCCTCCTTCTTCTTTTCCTCCTCCTCCTCCTCCTACTTTTCCTTCTTATTCTTATTCTCTTCCTCCTCCTCCTCCTCCTCCTCCTTTCATTATCATCATTATCCTTATCCTCATCATCATCATCATCATTCTCATTCTCCTTTTCTCATCTTTATCATCATTGTCATCATCTCTCCCCTCTCCTCTCTCTCTTCTCTTTTACCCCCCTTTCCTTTCTCACTTTCTCATCTTGCCTCCTCTCCCCTCCCATCTCCTTTCTTCTCCCCTCCCATCTCCTTTCTTCTCCCCTTCCATCTCCTGTCCTCTCATTTCCTCTCCCGTCTTCTCACCCCTCCTCTCCTCCCCCACTCCCATACCTCTCTCCTCTCCATCCCACCTCTCTCATCTTCTCCTCTCTTCTCTCCTCTCCTCTCCTCTCCTCTCTCTCCTCTCCTCTCCTTTCCTTTCCTCTCCTCTCCTCTCCTCTCCACACCCCACCTCCTCTCCATCCCACCTCTGTCCTCTTCTTTCCCCTCTCCTTTCCTCTCCTCTCCTATCTTCCTGCAACTTGATATGCAGCAAGTTCATGACAAATTTTTGCCTTTTTTAAAGTTAATTAATGAAGATATTTTTTGGAGAGAGGATTTCCTGTTTAAATTATAAAAAAATCTATAATGATTTCAGATTGACAACAAGAAGCTGTGCCTGAACCTTCAAACTGCTCCCATCATTGTCTCACAATTAACATCAGATGGAAAGTGGAAAAGTAAAGATAAACCTAGGTGAGTTTTTTCTTCTTCTTCTCCTTCTCCTTCTTCTTCTCCTTCTCCTTCTCCTTCTCCTTCTCCTTCTCCTTCTCCTTCTCCTTCTCCTTCTCCTTCTCTTCTCTTCTCCTTCTCCTTCTCCTTCCTTCTCCTTCTCCTTCCTTCTCCTTCTCCTTCTCCTTCTCCTTCTCCTTCTCCTTCTCCTTCTCCTTCTCCTTCTCCTTCTCCTTCTCCTTCTCCTTCTCCTTCTCCTTCTCCTTCTTCTCCTTCTTCTCCTTCTCCTTCTCCTTCTCCTTCTCCTTCTCCTTCTCCTTCTCCTTCTCCTTCTCCTTTCTTCTCTTTCCTTCTCCTTCTCCTTTCTCCTTCTCCTTCTCCTTCTCCTTCTCTTCTCTTTCTCTTTCTCTTTCCTCTTCTCTTCTTTTCTCTTTCTCTTCTCCTTCCTTCTCCTTCTCCTTCTCCTTCTCCTTCTCCTTCTCCTTCTCCTTCTCCTTCTCCTTCTCCTTCTCCTTCTCCTTCTCCTTCTCCTTCTCCTTCTCCTTCTCCTTCTCCTTCTCCTTCTCCTTCTCCTTCTCCTTCTCCTTCTCCTTCTCCTTCTCCTTCTCCTTCTCCTTCTCCTTCTCCTTCTCCTTCTCCTTCTCCTCCTTCTCCTCCTCCTCCTCCTCCTCCTCCTCCTCCTCCTCCTCCTCCTTCTAGTTCTTTCCTTCTCCTTCTTCTCCTTTTCCGTCTTTCTTTTTCCCTTTATCTTGTAGGCATGCATGCACACATACATGTATACCAAGATGCATACATAGGCATGCATGCAGTTTCTCACATTTTATAATTTTTGACAGATAGGTAACAAATCGAGTCCATAATTACCTTTTTATGGCTTAATTATGTTCCCTATTTGCATTAGATCTCAGTGCTTCTTAGTATGTACAGTCATTGCTCAGAAGAAAGTATAAATAATGATAAAGATAATAATAATAATAATAATAATAATCAAAAATAAAACATTGTATCCAATTCCACTTTCAGCATTCACATGAGGCGGGGCTTTGGATGTCATATCTCAGTTGCTTCAGCGGAAGGTCCAACATGACGTCAATGATTTTGATAACCACCTGGATGATCTGACCTGCGACTGGGACAACCCTCAGATTAACAAGCTTTTAGACACCCTTACGGCAGCCGCTCAGGACAAGTGCTAATGGAACAATTATATTTTCTGAAGATCAAAGTCATGAACTCTGACACATCTTGTACATGTGCGTGTATGTTGTCTTAAAGTCCTGGAATGATTTAGTAGCAAGAGTTCGTAGAGATGAATTTTTCTTTTTCTTTGAAGTCATTCCATTGTTTAATGAGTCGTATCCATTTTGTTTTCCTTTTTAATTAGCACCCCTCCCCCCACATATAGTAATAGTGACTTTGGGTAATAATATTTTATAACAACTGTGTCACTTTCATTGAATGGTAGTCATAGATTTTCTTTTTATGAAAATGAAAAAGAGGTAATGCTACAGTAGTAAATCATTGCCAGACGCTGCTGTTGAAAAAAAAATGTAATTATGCTAAAGAATCCTTTGTATACAGAACTACTTACACTTACATTTCTTCATTTTAGATGTATAGTTGTAAATATATTGTTCCATACATTTCATATAATACAATCTAGGGCATATGAAATTTTACAGTAATGACTTATAATGGAACTGTATATTTATTTATAATAGATTGAAAAATACATGAAACTAAAGATAAGAAAGTTTATATTTGTTACCTTATTTATGACCTGAATCTCTAAGGAAACTTCTTTAGTTTAAAACCTCGCAATACCTAACTCGTTATCATCGTGGGAGGGCTTAGGAGACAGGGACTGAGACCCAATGTAGGGGATCACCCTTACCTTGGGCCTCAGCCCTTGCCTCAACTAATTTGGTCCTTTCTTCATGGGGTAGACTGTTTCTTTTCCCCAGTTTATTCAGGCTCACCATGGCCAGTAATGAAGATTCTTTACCTTTAATAGGGGCAATAAGGCTTGCCCTTCATCAAATAGCCTATCTGAATTTGATTTTGATGGTTTGCCGACCCTGCCCCTCCTATGACAACAGCTCGACCAATGATACTAACACCCCTTCTTCGACCCTTACGAACAACTCTAGCCATTCCAAAATACCCACCCAGGTTATTACTCACCCCTAGAAAGCACCTCATCCCCCAACATCCTCTCAATCTCAACCCCCTCTTTCCTTATTACTACTCTTCATCCTTATTGTCCTCCCCCTGCAGAACTACTCCACTCCACACCATGATGCCATCTCCTCTCACCCTGTCCTTCTATTGCCTATACTTCTGCAAACCTTCTGAGTATTCTCTTTGGCCCAGCCAAGTGGGATTGATTCTTTGCGATTCACCCACAGAACTGTAATATGAGAATACACTTCTCTTACAGCAGTGCTTCCAGAAACAAGTAGGCAAGGTTACCTTTTACAGTCACTCTGATCATTCACACCTTGTCATGGTTACATCTGAAGCCCAAACTCATGCACTATCTACCCTAACTGACCTTACTGGCAAACCCATTCCTGCCGAACCTCACCCATCTCTTAATACTTGTACTGGAACTGTTTTCTATTCCCCAAATGCTTGTCCCATGCATAACAAGGACTGGTCAGACTGTGAAAATTACCTACTTTCCTGCCTCAGTGAATATGATGTAGTGGCAGTAGTGTTACACTCTTCTTCCCAGAGGCCAGCATAAATCCCACGTCAGTATTGCCAAGATTAGCTTCCATAACAAGACCTCCCCCATTATATTGGTGGATTGTCTTGTCATGTCCCACAATATCGACCCTTCCTCGTCATTGTCAGAAATGTTGGCATTTTGGCCACCCAGCCAAACACTGTCGCTCTACAGCCCGCTGCCTCAATGTGCCCAACCTGGTCATGACCGTTCAATTGCCCTGCTCAGTCACATACATGTGCCAATTGTGGAGACTCCTATAATGTGTTTTATAGGAGCTGCCCTGCCTATAAGTTTGAATGTGAGGTAGCAGTCCTCAGATTTAAACTAGGCCTCACTCTACATGAGGAGACAGGAAGCACAACGAAGAGGTTTTTCTCTCTTAACTTACTCCAGAACAGTCCTACGCTCTGCTCCCCCACCTACGCAGGATGTTTCTGCATCTCCCCAGGTATCTCTCCCCAATACCCTAAACTTACGTCCTATGTCTTTTTACCCTATCCACCAGTTAAATACATTTTCCATTCTTATTCCAGATACTCCAATCTCTACCACTTCCCAATACTTACCCTCCTCCTCACTTTAGTTGTACTAGGCAACCTAAACATTCCACTCCACGCTCTCCTACTACAACCTCCTACACCTTCCTCTTCATCTGTTCCTCAGATATCTATCTTCTCTTCTCCTCCTTATAAGAGAACCTTTGTTTCTCAGTCCTCTCTACCCAATTCTCCTCCAGAAACCCTTGAAGACATACAAAACTTCTAAAAATAACCCAAGGGAACACCACTCCCTCATCCATCCCCCAATCCCTCTGTTCCTACTCCTGCTATATTTAAAGTATCTGCAGATATCCATCCTCCTCCCAAGTTCCCTCCATATCCCTTCCTCCACACCTCCCAACATACCCACCCTCTCTACCGCTTCCACTTGAATGCTCACACAAATCCCCTTTATCACAACAGTGTCCTTCTTCAGACCCCTCTTCTCCAGACATTTTTCCTGATACTTCACCACCTTCCCAGTCTCTATTTCTCAGCCCTGGATTCTTCACCTACTTCTCCAATAGCCACCTCTGTTTTCCTTAATCAATGTCCCTACTCCTTCCCAGTCGCAGATACACTGCAATTCACTCAGTTGCTCTACCCCTTATATTCCCCGAACCACTTCCCAAAATACCTCATCCTCTCAACCACCCAAACCAAAAGCCCCACCAAAAACCCTATTCTTTTCCACATACCTCATCCACAAACCAATCCCCAAAACCCCATCCTTCCCCACTATCCCTCCACTCCCTCCTGGATACACACGTGAATCCCTTTTATCACAATACCCTTCCCCAGACCCCACTGTCACTATTGAACCCCAGACACTACTCCTTTACCTACTCCTGATCTTTTATCTCAACCCTCAGATACCTAATCCCAAACTACTAAGACAACCATAACTACCACTATCACCTATTATCTCTATTCCTCCCAAGTCACAGATTTACTTAATTGCTGTACCTCCTTAACCTCCCTGCTTTCCCTTTTCATTACCATACTTTCCTATAACACCCTCTAATCTTTGACATCCTTTCCCTCCTTCCAGATGCTTCTCCTACTTTTCAACAGCTACCTCTATTCTTCCTTGAACATTTTTCCTATACCTTCCCCAGTGACAGATCCACTATAATTTCCTCAATCGCCCTACCTCCTTAAGCCTCCCTTTCTACTAATTTCTGCTCTAGTTCACTTGCTCCCCTTTTTTTCCTTTTCACTACCATGCTATCCTATAACGCTCTCAAACCTTGGGCATCCAACACATTTCATTGTAATCTTTAATTCTCCTTTGCCCTTTCTGACGCAATACTGCACCATAGTGCTATTTGAACTTTATTTTCTAGCACATTTGTTTTCAAATATTAAACATTAAACATTTAGTTTAAAAATTAACATAAACTAGGGTCTCCACTTTTTTTTCTCTCTCTCTTTCACCCCATCTGTATTTTAGTTGGATATCTGGCTATCCTTGTATAACCTACACTTGTTTCTTATCAAAAGGTGAGCTCCTAATGACCTTATATGTTCAAAGGGCAGAAGGTTTGAAATAATTATCTAGAAAGGTGATTTCCTTTACAAACTTCACTGAACTTTGATGATTCTTGTAATTCCTGTTATATGTAACCTTACTGAACCCTTGAGATCTAAGTGTGAGAAATGTTTTAAGATAATCTTCCTTTTTTACCTTTATATTTTAATTTATATTGAGAATCTTAGAAGTCTGGCAAGGCCTGGGTTGCTTATTCTAGATCTCAGTTGAATCTCAAAAAAAAACAAAAAAAACAGGAAAGCTCACTCAGTCAAAACACTTGAAAAGCATGAAGGTCTTCATTAAGTGCACTGTAACAGGTGCAAGGTAGTCTACCCAAGTCAAAGTATTCAAGGGATCTGATTTGGTATCATGATGTAATAATAAAATTACAGATGAAAAAAGAAAGGATCTTTAAGTATATATTGAAAGAAATTGAGAATAACACTGACTGCCTATTCTAAATCTGAAATAAATGTACATATTTCAAAGCTATATAAACAATTATGAAGTAATACTATTTGAAGATTTTAAAAGTGCTCTCTATTATCACAAAGTAACCATTAACAGTTCACAAAAGAGAAATATAATCAATATTCTTGGAAGTAGGAAAGAAAACACAATTTTTTATAATTCTTTAATGTGATGCTCAGAGTATCAAAGCAGATAGTTTATCATTTACAACATTTGTTTTCCCCTACTGTAATTAAGATCAAATTTATCCAACATGTATGAAAATGTATTAAGGCCCATTCACACATCATTGTACCAGTATGATTTTCAAGTATTTTAATCACATATCTTGCAGCTTAGTGACAGGTATGGCTAGCACAGATTAGTATTTCAGTAATAGATGTTCATGTTGGGCTTTTAGGTAGTCTCCGTTGTCACACTTAAAAACTATACTGAGGGTAACGATATTGTCAATGGACCTTAAAGTCAAGATAGTTTTAAAAAGGACAATATAAACAAAAAACTATAAATTATGAAATCACTACATTTCATACAAAAAGGTTTAAATCTGTTATTTGTTTGTTTTTTTCAAATAATCTTTGAAATGAAAAAAGTGTCTTTTGAATCCTGATGTGCAATACATTCCCAGCCTCAGACTCCTATTCATCTGAACACATCAAATTTCTTTCTTTAAGACTGTCATGGTTAATGGTTGAAACAAATAAGTGCTAGACATCTAAGGTCATATAGCACTATGGTAAATCATTAAGACTGTCATGTGACCTTTTCATATCTTTTACAGGATGAAGCTTTTTTAAGGATTTTTCATTCTCCTAACTGGATGTAAATTTTTTTTTTTTTTTTTTTTTTTCTTAATTTAGTATTTTCTGAGTTTTCATCTTATGTCATATCTATTGTGATCAGTCTGTTTCACCTGTAATTTTTGACTTGATTTTTTTTTTTTTTTTTGTATTTCAATGTTTGCTGATTGATGAATATAAAATTACTTTCTATTCATCAAAGGCAATAGTTCTATTTACACATTCATTAACTTAATTTATGCCATACCTTCTTAAACAAAGAAGCCGCAACATATTGCCCTCTT